CATGTTGGGCCCAAATGTAGACCTTCTAATTTTATTCCAGATGCTCTACCACCATTCCTGAGTTGTCAGGAGATTCTGAAAAGCAGGAGCTCTAGAGAAGACATTATCTCAATTAAAAGATTTGCTATATTGGAAGGAAATTCATATATTAAGGAAAATAGCAATATTATTTTGTGAGATGAATGAATGACTATTCTCAATTTCATGACAAAGATTTTCAAGGATTCAACAAAATCATCGCTTTCCAATTTCAAACCAAAGGAAACCTCATGGAGTTGATATAAACATTAAAATGGAGGTTTCAGTTTGGAATGACAGTGTTGCTCGTGCCCTCCATGGTACTAGCTGAAGATGTGCAATCACATGGAAGGAAACTTCCTGAGGCTCTTGCCCCTTTTCAAAAATTTCTTAAATGTTGATTTAATGTTTTAAATGTTGATTTCAAGAGTATATCAATACATGGATGATACATGGATGAGTCAGACAAGGAAGACAGCTGATTATAGTCCAATAACCTAAAACAAACTATAATAGAAGAGCATTAGTGTTACAGGAATTGGATTCAAGTCATAACCTCATGTGAAACCTTGGCAAGTCACAAACGTCTCTGAAGCTCAATGTCCTCATTTGCAAAATGGTGTTAATTATACCTACCTCTTTTTATTACCATGAGGGTTGCATGTAATCAAGAGCAGAGGTAACCCATGTTCATGTTTATGTCTTTCTTAACAGGTAGCACATACTAGGTGTTCAATTAATACTAATTGAATCAAATTGGATAAAATTTGAAAGTGATTTAAAATTGCCATTTCTTGGCAGAATGCAGGAATCTATGGGTTTCTTTGATTAAGATGCAACTGTAAATATACATCTCATGTTTCTGTGGTGTCCTTGAGTTCCAGCATCTAACCTAGGCATCTTCTCTTCTAGGATGAATGATGGGAAGATTGGTGAAAGCCATCAGGAAAAACAGACACCCCAATTCTGAATAGCTTACCTTCACCATCTGTATATACAAAGAATTCTTCAGAACTTGCCTTATTTACTATAGAAAATAGTACAGAGCTGTTGGGAATGGACTCACTGATTTTCAGTCTTTTCCATCTTTTTCCCCCTAGACTCTGTGATCTGAGAGCACAGAGACATCTCCATCCAGTCTGTGCTCAGGAAATGTCCTGATCACAATGCTGTCTGTCCCACTGCCTGTTCAATAAAAGTAAACTCAGCAGAGCACCCTTCCTGGGATTTCTTTGTTACTGCCTGGAACATAGGAATTTGTTTTTACAGAAATTGAATAAACTCTACCCTTTTGTCTCGCTAAGCCCATTTGTGGACAGAAAACGCTCACTTTTTTTCATACTCAAGATGCTGTCATAGTTGGGAGGGAAGGAGTGTCTAGGTGAGAGGTGGGGAGATAGGGGCTCCTAGGCAGCCAACAACTGTGTAAAGCTAAACGAGCTATGAATCAGTCTCACCTTGATTACCCATCACCATACCAGCTCTTCTACCTGGCTTGTAAATTTGCATGAATGGCATAACTATCTCTCAGTTATGTAGGCCCCATCCACAGAAACGATCAGTAATTTTTTATATCCAGTCGTGTTACCTCTTGACAATTTCCTACATAAGGGTCTTGTACCCATAATCTGGGAAAGACTAAGGAAATGAGTTACCAATGTGTGCAAGTCTCTAAAGCAACACTCTCCAACAGAAATGTAATGAGAAAGGCACAGGGCAGAGCTCACATTTGTACTCCGATCCTATGTGTTATGTTATGGATTGAATTGAGTTCCTTCAAAATTTGTAGGTTAAAACCCTAACTCGCCAATATGACTGTATTTAGGGACAGGGCCATTAGGGAGATAATTAAGGCTAAATGAGGTTATAATGGTGAGGCCCTAATCCAACAGGATCAGTGTCCTTATAAGAAGAGTGGGGGATACCAGAGATGTGTATGTGCATGAGGAAAGGTCACGTGAGGACATACGAGAAAGAAGAGAGCCTTCACCAGAAACTGAAATTTTTGGCACCTTGATCTTGGAATTTTGGCCTCTAGAAGTATGAAAAAATAAATTTCTGTTGTTTAAGCCACCCAGTCTATGGTACTTTGTTATGGCGGGCAAGCCAACTAATGCACCATGCTCTTTCCTCTATAGTCTGTGGCCTTCTTGATTGACTTTGACCGAGGTCAGTCTCCTATCTCACCCAGTTAGATTATGAATGAAGCATCAAATGACACTCCCTGAGGATTTTACCAGTGGTGGGCAGTATCCCAAACTGTTCCCTACAGAAAGAAGCAGAACAGGATGTCCTGGTCTTCC